AATGGTACCATTAAAGTGGAAATATCAAGATCAAATACCTTGATGCAAAACACAATCTCAATTGAAGCCACTCTAAGTATACCAAATTTTGAGCTATGTAATCTTCCAACAAACCCTTTAAGGCAAATAACCAAATATTTTCTTGGATCATAGAGGCCCAGTCATGTGTGCTACATGTTGGAGAATGCCTCGTCACAATTATTCTTTGAAGTGCTAGTTTTAAGCCATTCTCTCTTACGGTAATTAGATAACTTGTCTGTAAAGGTTACTTCTCGGTCGTGTTCACTCATAAGAATACTTACTCTTTTAAGAGCATTGGGGAACCTGGCATTCAGGTCAACTAAAACTCATATCAAGTTAAAAAGACAATTTGGAAAATGGTAGAAAAGGTGGGGAGTATGATACAAACTTTTATTAACCTGAGGGGAATTATTTTCTGATATGAGAAGATAATATCATCTTGATTATATTTCTTAATAACTATAATTGTAGTCAAGTTACTGTTCTTTGTCTAAATACCCTCAGCTATTCAATGGTAGTAATTATAGTGCTACATCATTTTGTTGTGAGAAATAAGTGAGAAAATGCATACAAGGTGCCTAGGACTGTACCTGGTATATAGTAAGTTCTCATTTAGGGTTAGAAACTATTCATCAGAGAACAAAAAAAAAAATTTTTTTCTCTTATAGCCTATAACCAATTCTTATTCCTACCACTATAGGAAAATAAAAAAGTGCAGTAAAAACTCCAATTATTTTATGTTATAACAGCAAATTTTTCCACTGACTAATACAGAACATTATGGTGGAATTGCTGCCCTTAAAACCTGCTCTTAACATAAAATTCAGTGGGTCCTAGATATTCTAGATTATCAAAAATTACATCAATCATCAGTCTGGGATACTATTACTGCATACAATATTCCAAAACTGAAATACTTTGATGATACTTTTCCAACCACTGAGGATGTAATGCAAATGTTACCACTAGTCAAAAATCAGTAAAGCTCTACTGAGATTGTACCTCTAGAATTGGAGGTTGTATGGCTCATTGACTAGAAAAATCATTGGACTCACAAATGCAAGTCTTGCAGCAGCATCAGTGAAATTTAATGTTCAGAAAGAAAGTTTGTTAGTACATATTAATATGAATTTTCTGCTGCTGCACAAATCTGCTCCCATTTCTTATCTCACAGTTTTGTCAGAAGTCCAGGAATTGTCTGAGTTCTCCATTCAAGTACTCACAAGATCAAAATCAAAGTGGTGGTAGATTGTGATCTTGTGTGGAGTTCAGAGTTCCCTGCACCTAGGGTACTAAGTTTCTCATGTGTCTCCTGACTGTTAACTTCTCTCGGCATCTACAGACTTCCTGAATGTCTCAATACATGAGCACAGCCATCTTGAAAGTCAGCCACAACAGCTTCCCTCATTAAATCTCTCTCATGCATCACATATTGACCCTAATCTCAAGACACTGATTTAAGGACTCATGAGTTTGGACCATGCCATCTGAAACTACCTTCCTTATTAAATTTTAAATGTGCCATTTAGCATCATCCAATTATAAAAATGATATCCCAATATATTCATTATGTTAAGGATTATGGAGGGGAAGCATATACCAGGGAATGGACCATCTTAGAATTCTGCCTCCCACCATATCAAAAATTTAAAGTTTAACTGGACAAAACAAAGACCAAGTGTTGTACTATATTGGCCTAAGATGCTAAATCCTAGAATTCATAAGAAAGAAGTGGCATGTCTTTTAGAAGTACCACAATCCCATAAATTTATAATTTTAGAATATAAGATTGCCTTTCTAATCATGATGTATATTTTCCACTAAAGTAGACAGAACCATACTATTGGCACTGAGGATAAAAAATTGAAGACTCTAATTTCACTATCATACTTTTTGAATTTTTTTCAACTGTGCTGTCTATGGGTGTGTTACCAGTGTTCACTCAGAAAGTGTCTCAGAGGATTAAGAATATCTGGACCAACCGACTTTAATTTTATAAGGATGAGATAAATAAGTTTACAAGGAGTCACTGGAATCTGAACTTCCATGACTATATTCAAGAAATTCTAAAATCTTTGTAAGAGTGTATCTATTGGTTTTATTTCATATCTTCTCAAAATGAATTTTATACTAGTTCTTTGCAAAGCAATTTTTATTAATAATTTGTTAAGATCTGATCTAAATGTCTTCTGAATTTTGTTTCTTGGCATATTATTTACTCTATCATTATTTTGGGGTATTTTGTATTTCTCTTTTCATATATGTTGGGTGAGTGGGTTGGTCAACTGCTTTTCTGATGATGACTTTGCTACAAAGGATTTTGTTAAGTCAGGGTGACATATATATATCAATTAACCACAAGGCATCTCTAGGTACTCTCTGAAGCTCTGGGTTGTGAAGGATACTGAGTTTGGCTAGGCCAATGTTAAAGAATTCTGTGGAATGAGGTGCTTGTATCATTTAGAGGCTAGGATGTGTAAGGATACAATGCTACATATTTGGTTACATGTAGGAAAGTTGCTATTCTATAATATCAAATACTGAGGAAAGATGGTATACTATATCATCTTTATAGAGATATATTTATTAGTTTTCATTTCTTGATGGTAGGAAGATCTTCAGAATCTCATGAAAATACCTAGGGCTTCCTAGGTAGCAAAAAAGATCTTGAGTGCACAGAATGGCTTAAGAAGGCTCTTTATGATAAAGCTCACCTTCTTCACAATTTTGCCTAGGGTAAACTTGGTCCAAACTGCATCCTTTTTTTTTAAAGATTTATTTTATTTATTTATATGAGAACTAGGATATAGGCCAAATGCGTGGGAGGGTGATAGGATTCATCAGAGACAGAGTGGGGAACAGAACAGGCATACTGGCGAAGTACACTGCTGAGGGCAGCAGCGGGCGAGACAGGAAAGGTCTGCTGCGCCATGTGGGACTCTCCCCGGCCAGCAGGGATCGAACCGGTGCTGCAGAGGCTGCAGACAGCTTCCCAGCTCGGTGCTCAACCGCCTGTGCCACCAGGGGAGGCCCGAACTGCATTATTTTTGTTGTGCATTTGGTCTTCCAAAGTGGGTAAACAGTTATTTTGAGTTCATTCCCTGACTTTGCTCAAAATAAAGGATTCACTTTTGTAATCATGAAACCTCTCATTCTGTAAAATATTTTCTAAATTATAGAGATGATGGTTTATATCTAGAATATATCTATAAATACATTTTATATTGTGTATGAAATATTTGTTAGAGGAATGACAAGTTTAAAGTAAAATATTGGATTTAGTATATAAATGGTAATATGTGATGAGTTTAAAAATATTTTTTATATATTTGTGTATTTTTTCATATTTAATGTATTCACTTACATAGCTTTATATTTATGCAAGGTAGCTAAAGTAGCAAGGAAGATGAGGTAAGCACTGGAAAACATTCTTCTTATACTCTACATTGAAGTATTAAGTTGGAGCCATAAAGCACATATATTAAGATGGGTATTAAGGGCCTCCCCGGTGGCGCAGTGGTAGAGCGCTGGGTTGCGAAGCTGCCCACAGCCTCTGCAGCGCCAGTTCGATTCCCAGCTGCTCCCCGGCCACCGGAGGAGGGTCCCACATGGCCCGCAGACCTCTCCTGCCGCCCGCTGCTCCCCTCAGCAGTGTACTTCGGTCCTTCTGCCTGCTCTGCTCCCCGCTCTGGCTCTGGTGAATCCTCTCACCCTCCCAAGCTTCTGACTGTACCCAGTGCTTGTATAAACAAAACAAACAAACAAACAAACAAACAAACAAATAAATAAATAAATAAAACATGCCTCTATTTAAAAAAAAAAAAAAAAGGATGGGTATTAATGACCACAAATTGTCAATAGGAAATCCCCCTTAGCAGAACAGAAGAATGTAACCAAATGAATCAGATCATGAATATTAATAAGTACTTAGAAAATAGAGTCATAACTAAATGTCCAGAAGAAAGTGATCTGCTGTCCATACATTCTGAAACCTTACTAAAAAGAAGAGAGAAAGGGAGAGAGGCAGGAAGAGAATAAGAGAGTGAGGGTAGAAAGAGAGAATCATGAAAAGAAAAATGAGTGGGGAGGAGATTTTTAAAAACTATTGTACTTATTCTTGTATTTCATAACGAAATAAATAAAAATGAGATTTTTACTATCTTAATAAAGATACCTTATTTCCACATAATTTAAATATATGCTATTTTTCAAAATATTTCATTTCTCTGGCTATCAAAAATAGTTATTCTAAGAAGATTTACACTGAAAAGACTGCCAAAATATGGTATGATCCTGTAAAGGTGATGTGAATTCCCTTTTGGTTTATTTATACTTAATTAGTTTTTGTCAATGTTGTACATTAATTACACTCCAGTTTTTCAAGGTCTGTTTGTTTTCTGATTCAGAAAAATTAGTCTGTATCCTTTAGTTATGTAAAAAGCCTAGTATTTAATTAGGAACATGTCCTATCAGATTTATGTAATGGGCTGTAACCTTGCCAATACCTACATTGCTTCTGAGAGATAATCAGTCATTTAGGAAAACACTTTTGCTTTTGGAATACAGGGTGTTCCAAACCACAGTCCCTTTGTAAGCTTTTTATTTTCTTCTACTTTATTTGAATTTCACTTTTTCCTTTAACCCAAACTTCTTCATGATTGCCCGCATATTATTTTAGCTTCTCTTTTCTCTGCTGATTGCCTTTTTTCTCATTCTGTCTGTACTAACATGATAGAAAAAAAAATTAATTTAAATTTGATGAGGAGATATGTAGGAAATGAAGCAAACTGGAAGGAAGCAAAAGGTTGTCCCATTGTTAACCTCCAAAGGGTTGAACTTATACTGGAGAAAAACTTACAGTGAAAATATTTAGAACATCTCTACTTAAACGGAAGCAAAATCTATTTGAAAAGAACAAATCCTAATAATCCTTCATACATTTGTTTTTAAAAGTCCCAAGAGCAGAAGGAAACAGTTACCTCTGACTGATCAATAGGTATGTTTTCATAGTTGTATAAATTATCCAGGTCTTCCAAGGTGGTGTCGTAGGTTTCTGAGTCATAGTTGATGAGCTCTGGAGTTGGAGCTGCCACAGCAACATCAAAGATGACAAGTCCCAGAACGAATCTTGCTAATGTTTTCATTTTTTTAATTCCTAATCATAAAATATTAACATGCATAAATATTTAATTGATAACAACTTATGAATAGTTTGCATAAAATAGCAATGATTGATCAATGTCAACACACACTGAGAAACTCAAACTGGTAGCTTTCCTTGCACGGATAATTTATAAACATTAAAACAAGAAATTAGGGCCTCCCTGGTGGTACAAGGGGTTAAGCACAGCACTATGAAGCTGTACTCAGCCTCTGCAGCACGAGTTCGATCCCTGGCCGGCCACAGAGTTACCCTCATGGCACAGCAGACCTCTCCTGTCTCGTCTGCTGCTCCCCTCAGCAATCTGTTTCAGTCAGTCTGCCTGTTCTGTTCCCCACTCTGTCTCTGGTGAATCCTCTCATCCCCACACCTCTTCCCTGTACCCCAGTTCTTGTAAGCATAAATAAATATTTCTAAAAAAAAAGACAAGAAATTGTATGGTTTCTGATGACCAATTATATCTGCTGTTTAAATTCATTCACAAACCTATCCATCCACATTTTAACAGTAGATGCTGTTCTTACAGTGACACTGATTTTATATTATATAGAATCATGAAGAAAATGGGATATAAGATGAAAACAATGGACTTATTTACATGAAAGTCTTTACATTACCTACAAATTTTACCATTTACTAAACATTTTGATTCTTTTATCAACACTGGGATATAGGAATGATGATGATGATGATGACGATGATGACATTGACAATGACTCTATCACACTAGTTTTTAAATGAGAAAATCAAAACACATTGATACAAATAGGACTCATAACTATTCCTTGTACTTTTAAGTTTAGAGCTTTTACCAGACAATAATAATATTTTTTTCTTGTGCTGCTTAGTTGCCTCTGAGTAACATCAACACGTGCATAGTGCAATATGTAATAAATTATTATTTCATGCAGTATTTTTCAAAAAAATCTTGACTAAATGGAGCAGAAAAGAAAAATATATTCTCTCTAGTCCTTAGTGTTTTTTCTTCTCAATTGTTAACAGCCACCCAAAGTATAAACTCAGAATCAGTAGAGTAGATGTGGAAGAGAATATTTGGCTAGATTCCCTGAGAGAAAGACTGGCTACATGTGGGTTAGAGAATTCTTTTGTTTTCTAATTCTTTAATAAGCATCATCTTTATTTTTTTCTGTAATAACATCAAACTGTTTTTGGGGGGTGGGGATTTAATCAAGAGCTTATAAGTTTACTTTAGCTTTCTAAGTATTCCTTTAATTTCAGTTTAGAGAAAAAAAACCCTCATGTTTAATTTTAACCATTTGGGGCCTATAAGAAATGCTACCATCATTCATTAAGGAAGTAAAATATTTGTAAAACTTTTTATCAAGCATATCTAATTTTAAAGCTTTTTGCATTTTGGATATACTTCTTGGGTTTTCTTTCAGAACAGTACATGTGGTGTTTGTACTTAGGCATACATATAAAAGGGAATTCATGATAAATATTACTTTCAAACTTGAATGCTTTCGCAGACAAACTAACCTTCAGTTACTTGAAAGAAAGTCTTTATGAAGCAGGTTTAAGCAGAAGGATGTAAAATTCCCCTGAGAATAAGTAGCAGTACAAGGAGTTCCTTTTTATCCCCCTCCTGTGCTTTCTCAAATAAATTTTTTATTCACAGTGGGTAAAGTAAGGCTCTCTTTTACTTGTCTTTGCAGAAGTCCTTGCAGGATTGCAGATTTGGAACTGTTTTATTCAATTACCAACAAAGTCCTGCTTAATAAAAGAGCATGATTTACAAATCCTCCAGAAACCATTCTCCCATATTCAAGTGGGAAGCATTAATAGTGTCAACCACTAACCTAATATTTTTCCTTAAAAAATATTTTCCTTGTCCATTTTTGGCAACTTTCATTGTTCAAAGAATTTATGCATTTTTAATTTATTCTTTTTTTAAATTCAATAGTAACTTATAAATGCCTACAAATTAGAGTTTATTTGCATTTGGTATATGCCCTCCAGTTATCAGCAATAAGGCAGTCTGTGAACCCTAGAAATATGAAGAACATTTATCTAAGTTTAGTTTTAAAGCATACATTTCCTTTCTTCAAGTGATTATATTAGTATTTAATGTAGTGTCTTTGTTGAAACTTAGAATTTGTTGTTTCAGTTAATGATATTTTGAAAATGTATCTTCTATAAAACTTTAAAATATATAGCTTAAAAAGACATTCTAAATGCATAGTCCTTATCATCATCCATATATTTTTAAACACCTGAAATATCACCATTTTCTTCTTTTGATGATGTCTCAACCAATATCAATCAATAGTTTCTGTCTTTACTGGCAAAGAACGTGGTCTGTGTCAGGGCACTTGATTTAAGGAATATATTGGAAATGATTATAGTTTTATTGGCCTCTGTCATAACTATAAAGATCAACTATTTGTTGCATGTTATTAATTCGTAGGTTAATTCAAAGTTTTGTATTTTCCAAGAATAACATAAATATAAAACAGCAAAATTGAGCTGAATCCATTGAATCTAAGTTCACCATGAGATATTCAAGCAAGTTGAATTATTGTTTTAAAGGTTGTTATAGTAGGAGAAAAAGCCCCTAAATGAAGAAGAAAGCAAGTGTAAAAACTTACCTTTGGCTCCTACTTGATGAAATGGCACAAAATGACTGAGGATGCAGAGCCAGTAGTATTTGCCCCTGACCAATGGTTGTGAATTCTGGTCTGTGGGAGGTGGAATTTACAACACTCAATTTTCTGTTTGGAAAAGCTAACCTTGAGAAATGTTTCTCAGACTTTAAAAAACCCAAATTGCTTTATAGTCATCCAACCTAAACAGTTGACTCCAAACTACATAGTATCAGAAGCTCTTGAAATCATGTAAAAAAAAGTTTTAATTGCCAATGTGTCATCTTGAAATTTTTCAATAAATAAGGCAGATTAACAAAACTCCTCTGGAATAAATGACAAATTAAGAAAAGAATAATGTATGTTGGTGATAGTAGAGTTGGATATTTCAGACATGTTCTATTAAGCAATAATTTTTCTAAATCTTACATATCTTGAATTGCTTTCTTCTCTTTTCACATATGTTAACTGAAGTTCAATAATTATGTAAAACCTTGCCTCTTTAATGTTGGGTCAATAAAAGAAAAAAATCAAATTATTTTGATTGCTGGAATGCTTTGAGAATAATGAAGTAATGAACTTTTTGCATGAAAATTTGCAAAAACTATATCCAGAAATAATGCATAAATATGATGAATGTTTTATAATTTTTTTTAAAAAGACTCCTTCCGCTCTTTTATCTACCAGAGCCAAGCAAATCAAATTACATAGAAAAATTTCCCCAGAACAGAAGATTATTTTAGGCTCTTGGTTCCTAACATGATTTGTAAAATTGAGTTTTATTACAGGTGTGGAGAAAAATAAATTTGTGATATTTTTCACCTCTATTCACAGTATAAGAATTCTAGAGAAATATGAAACTGGTATGTGGTGTGTTTTACATAAATCTAGGAGTCTGTTTCTAATCTGTGCATCAGGAATTTTTCCTCACTACAAGAAGTGAATAACTATTGACCTTTGAAAATGACTTTGGTCTTGGGCAAATTTGAGAGGTGGGTCTGTATTCAGGACTTTCATAGCCCTTTGTGCTTTCCCTCGCACTTTTATCCCCTAAAAATTTCTTTGCTCTACTAGTCAGAGTATGAGCATTCAATTTCCCATCATCCCTAGCGCTTCCAAATAATTTGTTCTTAGTATGGGGCCAGTTTTATTTGTCACAGAAACAGTGATGGAGGGTAGGACTACCATGACCTTTCAAACAAGTGAGCGATCATCCAGAATCCTTGCAATCTGACCACATAAAGCCTATTTTCAGAAGCATTTCTGGAAAGAGGGCTGAATCTGAGTCCCTATGATGCGTCTGTTTAGTAGCAACGTCCCACATTGTGTGTTAAATGAGTTCCTATCATTAATTCTCTCAATACTTCTCAACTAGAGTAGTTTTCAAATTCACAGATGGGTAAACTGACACTCAGACATTAAATTATCCAGGTTCACAGGAGACATAAACCTAGAGAAAAGCAAACTGGGTCAAGTTCCCAGATATTACCAAGCCCATCTGAGGCAAAGTCAGAACTAAAAAGGCATGTTATCTCTCAGTTACTTAGGTTATGTTTCAAGGCTGTTTATCTGTCTCTAGTTTTTAGGCTTTTTCAGATTCTTTAGAACAAAGATAGATAGATAGTTCATAAAAACAGATTTCTTCCTTTTCCTGAATTATTTAATCTGTTTACTTAAACCCATTGTCAAGCGTAAGAAAGGTGAGATCTGCCCTTACTTCTGGAGGATTCTGACTAATACTGTGAGATAATATTTCCAGAAATAACATTTAACACTAAACTTTGGTGAACTGTGAATAATTAAATAAATATCTTCCTTAAGCTTTAGAACACTATCTTAAATGCAGTTCTTTCATAACCATTTAAATACCAATTTTCCCTGTCTTAATATTAGATTTGAAAGCAGAGATTATCATTCCTGTTCCTTCTCTTCTTGAAAATAAATACAACTTTTACATTTCCTTATAAACTGGACAGTTTTTAAAGATCATTTTTCTGGTATTATTTGGACCTCCAATATTTCAAAATCTATTTTGAACTGTGGGAGTTCAATATGTAATAATCTCATGAGGACCTTATTTCTATATAACAGTGAGGCAGGATTAATTACTAGTTCCACCCTTTCTTATCCTAGATAAGTTTCTTATAGTTTCATGATAATTTTAATAGAGTCTGAACTTGGTTATCAGAAACCCTCAGGGAATCAGTTATCATGAATAGTTATATTACCTAGCTAGAATCAGAGGCTTTATGTTCTGACTCCTTTTAACCACTCCCCCAAATTTCTTACAATTGTTTACAAAAGGATTTTAAAAATCCTTTTGATTACAACCCTTTACAAAATTTACCCCATCCTATTTACCTCAACAATTAATTTTAAAATAGGCTCTTAATGATTGCCTCTCTCTTTCTGGAGCAGTGATGAGTATTGAGTAGTTCCTTTGGGGACAACTCACATGCTGATAATGTTTCTCATTATTTGAGTGTGTAGCGTTGGTTTGCTTGTTTTAATTAACATTCTTTGAGGAATTTTCTCTTCTGTACTTTTATTTACATATTATGGGACAGTTACTTTCATAGAAACCTTATGAAATAATTAATCTCATTAATTTATCTATAATTATACACCTAAAATGTTTCAGAATTTAAATGATAAAAATTTGAGTCTAGACCATTCTCTCCATTATACAATACTGTGCAATTGATGTTTGACTATAGGTAAACACACAATGGTATTTAATATTAAATACCATTTTTGTAAATCTGCCTTATTTTTGAATTTACAATTTTGATGCAGTTCTCTTTTTTAGCTATAGTTATTTCTAGATTATTTTTTAAAATATCTCAAATGTGTTATATTCCCTGAGTCCTTGAAGGTTTGAATATATCTGTGAACCTTATACTCTAAGGTTAAGTTGTTTGGTAAGATATTCCCAGTTCACATTTTTCTGAGAAAATTAAGATATTGTTTCATTGTCTTTGGGCGCTAAGGTTGCACTGGAAAAGTGGCAAAAAGGAGTTGGGAATACACTATAGCAGTTTTGTCCATAATCACTAAGAATTGGAAGCAATCAAGATATCCTTCAAAAATGAATGGATCAACTTAGAGTAATATATCCATATACTAGGGTATCAGTCAGGTATTTTAATTTAAAGTTATCAAACCTCAAAACACTTGGAGGAGAGTTGAATACATACTGTTAAATGAAAGTCGACAGTCTTGAAAGTCTACATATTGTATGATTCCAAACATGACATTCTGGAAAATCAAACAATAGATACTTTTTAAAAAATCAATGGTTGCCATGGGTTTAAAGGGAGGGGTAGAGGTGAAATCGATGAAGCACATAGATTTTTAGAGTAGGAAAGCTATTCTGTATAATATTGTAATGTTAGATATATGACATCATGCTTTTGTCAAAAATCCACAGACCTGTCAGACATAGTAAACCTTAATATAATCCACATAATATAAAATATAATATAAACTTATATAATATAAAATAATATATTAGTTCATTAATTATAATAAGTGTTCCACAAAATATGTGATAGAAAAAAAATGTGCAGGGTTGGTTAAAGGGTAATATAGAAACCTCTGTATCATCTGCTCAATTTTTCTGTACATCAAAAGTTGTTCTAAAAAACAAATATTCAGTCTTTTCATCTTCTACCAAGAAGACTAAAATAATCCTTCATTCACTAGTTTGCTTCATTTTTATGTACCTACATTTCGACCTCACCCCATATGTCTTCATGGAATTCTTATAAGAACCTAGACAAAATAACAATATCATACTGGCTCAAGGATAGAACATATTTTAGAATGAGGTAATTATTATTATAGGCACTACCACCTCTATGTCACAACTTCTAATTATGAATGGGCTCCTACTTAAACCTGCAGGGATAACCCACACACTATGTACAGTATGTACATGGTTTGTGCTTTAGCAAATATTTGTTGCTAAAGGAAAACATTTGAAACTCAAAGAGTTTTTTATTGGAACAAGAAACCATATTACACAGTATTTATATATATGTTCTTATATTTGTAATGTTCTTAGTACAGCATATCCTCTGATTTCTAACTTTTAAGGTCTACACATGCCTATAAATGCCAGTAGTCTTAACACTTTGCTCCCAAATTTCCTAACTCTGGTGTTTATTGGCTCAGTTACAATTAATATCCAGTCTTCTCTTGGCTGAAGTTAACTTTATGTTGTCTAACTTGTTTAAATCACTTGTTCTGAATTGAATAAGTTAATTCATGTATTTGTTTACAAGATGATGTGTTTTACATCTTGGCTTTCACAGCTGATGTAAGTGAATGGGCTTTTTGCTTTAAGCTTGAGTCTGATTCCAAAACACCATCCAACCTTTACTCTTTCTATGCCTCAACTATTTATTTCACTTGGTGCTTGCAGCTTGAGCTAGCACCCAATACACCTTTTATTTTTTATTTTTTTAAGTGTCATAATGCAAAGTTGCTTTAATTAAGAAAAAGATAATTTCAGTGTACAGCTCTCATTAGCTCAGTGTGATCCTGTTTATCCAATACACCTTTTAAAAATGGCTACTAAGTTTTTCTCTCCTTGTCTCAGGCTCCTCCAATTATAATGATTTGGGAGGCTGTGGAGTGAATGAAAATTCTCCAAATTGAGAAGGTGATTTGCGTTTGAAGAACAAAGCAGGCATATCTCTTAACTATAATTAAAGCTTCTTAAGGACAACTTTCCTACACCAGTCCTTGACACCAGCTATTGATAGAAATTGGGTCAAGAAGTATACACCCCACAAATGGGAATCTTCCTATACCCTGCCTAATATGGGTGGGCACTCTACTGTGAGACTATTGACACCCCATGACCTGGGGGTAAGGTCATGCACAGTTTGTTCTGCTAAGATACATAGAGTTATGTATGGATCATGAATTCAGGTTGATACAAATGAAAGGAACAAGGTAGAAACTGGCTGTCTTCTCAGGGAGGGCAATTACAGGCCACACGTAAGATGGCACCATGTAGGATAAGATAAAAGTATCAGGCTTTCCTGCCCTCCCGCCATCAGGATAGATGATGGATGCCTGCGGTCCTGAATGCATGCCTGATGGCGGGCACCTGGAGTAGGGTGGGGGGCATATGCAGATGGGAT